CAGCCAGACCTTTCTTTTCTTGAGAAAGGTCTGGTGAGCGAGACTAAGTGAGACTTAACCTGTCAAAAAAAAACAAAAAAAAACTTTTCTATATGATGAATACTGCTTAATATTTTCTCCTGCGTATAGTGAGTTCCCCACAATTTACAATCTTCCAAAATTGTATTTGATGAGCAGTTAAGAGTTCAAAGTTCAGGAACATTATACTTTCACAAACAAAGCTTTCCACTAAGGCCTAGCTCAGCTATTACCAAAAAAGCTTTAAATTAAATAATAATATGTTACGCCAATACATAGCTGCATATTTATATATTGTTTTTTGTTCATATGAAAATATTTGGGACACTGATGCAACTTTCTAAACATGTCCTACTGTCATGAAAAAGAGGAAATTTCCAAGTGTAAATAGCTCATGAGAACAATTTGATGTTATCTTATTTAACCGTACAGTGTGTCTTTGTTTGCTGTCGATGTACGTGAATGTTTACTGAGAAATCCTCTCTTTGAAGTAGAAATAAGTAGAAAAGAACAAGATGTTCTTGTTAATGCACAAGCCAGCTTTCATAAGATGTTGAATGCCCCGTTATGAGAGACTGATCATTTAGTATTGTGGTGCCGACACACACTAGGCTGAGGAGTGCCCTTTTCCGAGGGATCATTTATGAAGCACTCAGAAAAACAAGAGGATTTTCTATAGACATTATATAACTGCAGCACATAGAGAAACACTGGCCTACTTTTCTCCACACAGTGACCTGCTCTACAGTAGCAGGGAGGAAGGAGGCGGGAGGAGGAGGAGGAGGGAGGAATCTGCTCTCCCAATGCAGCATGTGAGAGGAGCTGGGAGAGGGAAGCAGCAGGAGCTCTCACTCCGAAGCTTTCTGAGTATCACAAATGTCTCCATAATGCTGAAGGTGGAGAACTGCAGCCCTTTTCAGAATCTGAAAAGTTGCTTGCTGATAACATTCATGTAAAATGTCTATATCATCAGTTTTAAGTGTAAAGTGAGCTTGTTTGGTGCAACATGTCTGAGCTGCCGTGTTATCTTGTCGTTAGTATATAGGGACAGCAATTTCATTAAATTCTGTGTCGATCTATTTTCAAGCCTGTAACAAAAGTACATACAGTTAAAATCAAATCTGCTGTCAGGGTCAAATCTGAGCAACTTATGACATATACAACTGGCAGTGTTTGCAGGTTACAGTCTGAGGGTGGAAGGGGTTTAATGGTTTTGGAAAACGCTTAATATGTGCTGTTAATACAGGTTGAAGAATATGTTCCACTGTCACAGTTGTGTCTGGTTAACTCACCTCAGCTTTCTTTTAATCAATGTGTTCACAAACTGAGACAACTTTAAAAATGAGGAAAAAGAAAATTGTAAGGGGCTAATTTTTCTAACACTAGTTCTGTCTTATACTATGAGAATTTATGAAGGTAATAGTTATAGACATTTCAGTAGGGGCAACATTAAGGAGTAGACTGAGACGTCAGTTGGTCCTGGGCACCTGAGGATGCCGTCCTGAATGTTTTATGAATAACCGTGGACATTTTTAGACCCATTTAGGGTCTTGCTTTCAAAGGTAATTTTTCTTATTTATATTTTGAAACTGCTGTGCAGTGAACGTAAGATTTTTTTTCAGTGATTTTATTAATAAGCTCCATTTAAAGTGTATACAGAATCTGATCTCACTCTGATTTACAGTTGTTGCTTATAAACTAAAGAACAGGGTCAAAATTTGTTTAATTTTTACTAAATATTTGACGCCAACCTGTTACATTTATCCTGACACGTAACACTAACACTAACACTTATTTATTGCAACTGGTTGTTCTTCAAATTAATAATAAAATATTTTACATATCTTTATGACCTTTTGTCATATAGCCAAGAATGTCAATATTGTAAAACTATAATATTGTGATATCATTTCAAGGCCATATCTGAATTTATGTCACACTGCAACTGTTGGTGAAAACTGTAGGAGACAAAATAACAATAAAAAAAAAGGGTGTTTCTCTTTGTGATATTTAATCAGCTATGACATGATTATTGTCATGCAACCATATGTGTTCTGCATAGTTTCCTGTTAGACAGTAACTGCATGTTACTGTACATTAGCTGTAAAACCAGTATACCATTAATGTATACCATTGTTGGTATGTAGTGTGGAACCGGGACACACTGCACTACTTGTATTTCTGGATAAACACACTCCAAATTTTGTTTGCAGACGTGTAGTATATTTTTTTTTTGGGAGGAGGTGGGCAGGGTTTTAACCAGACTGCATATAGTAGTGACTCATCTTCTTCATAAACAATCTTTGGGAGGGGTAGCCCAGCATGCACGTGGTAAAAGGGGCGGGGTCAGCCCCCCGATGTGACCGTATGAAGGCGTGGTTGGTGGGTACACGTCATCGACAGACACCCAAAGCTCTCCACGAAAGACTGAAACCAGGGAGTTTTTTTTCTCAAAACACACAAACAAACTGAAACATGCATGTACACGGGATTAAACAACTACAACTGTTTATATTATTGATTGTGGGGTGCAGATACATGTAGGGGAAGCCTGAAAGCCAGAGTCACTTGATCCCTGGCAGACGATGTCAAGTCATTATGTAAAACGAGCTTGGCATTCCCTGCGCCACCGCCCTTATTCCTGCATGTTTTGGTTATTTGACTTTAAATGTCTCGGAGCTGTGCGTGCAGGAATAAATACACTGACAAGCGGGAGCATAGAGGGAAATAATCTGATAACTTTACAGTAATGCTGATGTGCAGCCTGTCATTGTAACAACCCTGTCTATGCAGCAGGTTTCAATGCAGTCACCCCTGATACTGCAGCAGCCCTTGTATGTTTATTAGCTATTTTAGACAGCTACAATTTAGGTTGAGAGAGACACACACTGTTAACGTTACACGACCCAATGCAAGAGGTGACTAAATTGTGCATGCGTTTGTAGCGTTATATTAACATGAATACGAAAGTAAAACTAAATTGTCAGTAACCGAAACGTGCTCCTCTCAGTAGTTAGTCATATTTTAATTTAAAAGGAAGACATAGGTGATGTGCATACTGTATTTAGCTTGTGTATTGAGGTGATAAATCAGAAAATAAACAGGTTTGTCTTTTTCTCAGAGTAAAAATCCTACAGAGACACATTACACTGAATCGTTAAGTACTTTACAAACCATGTCTCATAGTTGGAAAAACCTAAACTGTATTTCTAATAAAATACCAACTTACCACGTGCTTTCTGTTGTTGCAGGGCTTGCAATTCCAAAAACTTGGCCGCTTCCAAAAGCGTTTCGATGCTCATGTCTGTCCACTTAGAAAGACTAAAGTTTATTTTCTTTTAACAAGAAAAAGGCGATAAAGCAAATGCGATATGCGCCCGAGTACTACAGGGGAGAGGTTCCCAGTCTAAAGCTGGAAAAAGGGTAACTGGATACCCCCTCGGTAGAAACTCTACCACTTACGTAGACGAGTTACAAACAAGATGGCGCTCAAAGTAGTAGGAACAAATAAGGTTTGTGAATCACGCACCGTTTGTAACCGCCCACAGACAGACACACTCCCTCCATTACATACTTACAGAGGACACGACAAAACACGGAAAATGTCCCCGGAGTGGATTAACGACGGTGTAATAAAGCTGCATTCATGAGCTGAGTCACGTCCAACAGGGCTGTCAAACTGGCGCCACAGTCACCTGACTGCTTATTAGAAAATATGTAACAAAATGTCGCCAAAACAACTTGTTTAACATGTAGCTTTGTCTACGGTGGCTCTGACAGTCAAAAGTCAACATTTAATAAAACACGACATTTAGCAACCACTTTAGCTCAACAAGGGGGCAACTTTCCCTTACCTGTATCGCCCAACAGGTCTATTTTAGATTATTTAAAGGTTCAACTCAATCTCCATTTGTGTATTACTTGTTTAAAATCCTGATAACTAATGTTTAGCGTACTTGTGGCCTGTTTCCGGCATACTGGCTCTCTACAGTGGTTCCAACGGCTCTTTTATACGCAACACTTTTAACAGTATAACGTTTCTTGCTATTCTGTTGCCAGGGAAACAACTTTGTCCCCTGTTCACTTCCGGTTAGCTGCTGCATTAGCAAACACTCCGAATTCCAAAATGTTCCAGTCACATTCATAACGTTAAATGTGTGTTATAACGTTGTATGTGTGTTATAACTAAATGTGTGTCAGTGCAACAGTGACACATATAACTCGTATTGAAATGTAGTTCTCGTCGCCCAATGCCTGATGTAAGTTTAAAAAAACAAAAAAACAAAAGGTGAGACGTTCATAACCGTGTCCGTAATTTACAAGTAACCATGACTGCAGTAAACACATCTCACTGACCTCTCGTTCAACGGCCAATCAGCAGGAAGAACAACAAGGTATGGCGTCTGCACACATGGATACAAGGATTATGGTGATGTATCTCTCCCGCGTCCAAGCATCACAGAAGGCATCACAGGAATAATGTAGATAACTCTAATGTAGTCTTGAAAACAAAAGCTAGCCAATTAAATAAATAAACATAAAATAATGAAAATACAGCAATTTGAGTTATGGCCAATTTAACATTTGATAGGTGCTCATTCAGCAAAATGTGTACACATGGAATAAACAACCGAAATTAGAAGCACATAAGCAGTGGTGGAAAGTACCCAAGTAGCCTATATATACTCAGGTATTGTACTAACCTGAGTGCAATTTTGAGGTACTTGTACTTCACAATATTTCCCTCTGAAATGTAGTATTAAGTAGCAGACAACAGAAATATAAATTTGTTCAGATTAATACAAAATATAATCAACAATTATGACGCAAGAGTGCATCACAATTTATTTGTTGGCTGACTGATCTTTGGCAGCATGAAAGTCATAAATACACGAATGCATCAGTTATTATGATCCAATTATATATTAAACATCGTTTTAAAATGGGCCATTCTTCAGTACTTTTACTTTTGGTGTTTTCATTCTATTTTAATGTCATTACTTTTGAACTCTGAACATTTTGAATGGAGGATTTTTTAATGGTTAGATTATTTCTACAATAAATAAATAAAAGATCTAATTACTTCCTCCACCACTGCACATACAACAACATATCAAGCTGTAACTGCAACTTTATTTAGCTGTTATAAAATATGATGTTATAAACCAATCTGATTTTTATTTGGTGGTGGCTCACAAATATAGAAAAGCAGACATTACTGTAACTAACCTATGATATACTGTATCTTTAATTCATTTTGCAGTTAATGGATTCATCATTTGTTCTATAAAATGTTAGAAAACTGACACAATTTAGAGCCCATGTTGACATCTTTAAGTATTTTTTTGTCCGGCTAGCAGTCCAAAACCTAAAGATATTAAAGTGACAATGCTGTGAAACAATTTGAAAACAGCAAATTCTCACATTTGAGGGGCTGGAGCCAGCAAATCCTTCTTTGATTAATGGCTTTAAAAGACAAATCAATTATATATTCACTTTTCATGTAATTACTCTTATTACATCATCCCAAAATCACCCAGAAAAATCCAGACTACTGACTTAACACATGCAAAGGCTGATGGAAACCTGGTATAACTGAGGGATATGTAGTATGAGAAGGAACTGGGTTTTTGCTTGCAGCACACAAGGAACGTGCACACACATACACATGGCCCTGGATATTCAGAGGTCTTTTCCTGTTATTCACTCGGCTCAGGTCAGGAAGTATGTCGCCTTCCACAGAGTGATAATAACGGACCACAATACTAAAGGTTCTCCAGGAACAGGAAGGACTGAGGGGCTCCAGGAACATCATGAATTAATCAGGCTGTGCGTAAATTTCAGGAAACATTGGGATCAAATTCTAAAGCCATTCAAGAAGACAATGACTAATAAAACAAATAAAGGGTTTCATCTAAATACAAAACATGACAGGAAGACAGTCCCTGATAGAAGAAACACATAGTGTCCTCTTGTGGCCATTTAGATGTACTGCATTGTTAAAAAACACAACAGACCAAAAATGCTCGACTGTGTATAAAAAATGCAGCATGAAGAGGAAAAGATTTTATAAAAATTAACATTTATTGCAAATGTTTTTTTTTTTTGACAAAATGCCAATATACAGTATGTACCACCTTACAAGGTATTCTGACTGAGATCAAAAAAATCAGATGATGTGAACTACTGATTATCTCCTGGAACAAACCTCTAGAAGTCACAGTAACGTCAATTATCATCTGTAAAAATAACATCTGATCATTTAGGGCTTAGCAACCAACCTTAGAAGGGTGTTCTTCAGGTACGTACACAGTTGGTTCATCAGGTCTTTACTCTGACCCTCCACCCAGTGCATCTCAATCACTACTTCGCTGTCTTCCATCATCACATTCAGCAGACACTTGAACAGGAAGTGTTCGACTGCAGCGGGGCTCAGGGGTTGCTTAGAGGGCGGCTCACCTGCTGCAGCAGGCTCTTCCCGTGGGCCTTTTTCCTGCACTGCGTCTGTGCAGGTGGAGGACTCCATGTCCACATCTTCACCTGACACATTCTCTAAGACCTCCTTCTGTTCTGAAGTTGGCGGTACATCTTTGCTCGTCTCATTTGAAGAGGCGCCATTTTCAGTCTGCTCAGCAGACTGCTGCTGTCCAGCTACCTCCTGTGCAGATGTACTTTTGTTTTCAGTGCTATCACCCTGGGTGCTGCTGTTTTTTGTGGAGGCAGACTGGCTTTGAGATGCCGGGGTTGTGGCAGGAGCAGCTGTGGCCACAGTAGGTTGAGAGCTGGTTGCAGCACATTGAGGTGCCCTGGGGAGCTCCCGCAGCTGACGCAATCCCTCACGTCGCTTCTGTCGTCCATGGATCCAGGTGTTCTCCACAGCTGTTAGAAAGAGGCTCTGCTCCTGCTTTCGACATGGGACGCGTTTGTGAAGCACCTGCAGAGCCACACAGAAGATAATCAGACCAATGATGACATTAACTGTGTGTGAACATTAACTGACTGCTGCACAAAATAATGGCTACATGCTCGGGATGGAAAAAAGCTGTGACATATACACTCTAACAGAGTGGTGCAGGAATGAGATCTGAAACCCAGAGATGAGTTAGCATTTTAGCCCTTCTGGTTCCCTCGTCTTGAAGTCAGTGGGTTTTTGGTTAAAAGTCTGAAATAAAGTCTGTGGGTCTTTGTTTTGTTCCAAGACAAAATACATCAGTAAAACCATACTCTTGAATTTGGAAGCATTTATGCGTCTATAAAAAGGTGTTTGCTAAAAAGTGGCTAAATGAGACTCCAGAGGTTGTCTGGAATATTAAACGTCAGGATTACAAGATGGAAGCTTAGTGGTGGTGACGATGAAGTCATGCCATTGTGGTGTATTTTGTTTATAGCCTAACCATAGCTTTTTACTCGTGGCCACAAAAATCATAAAAGTACTGTTCATTAGTGAAGATTATGTTCCTGAATAAAACTTGTATCATAAACTTTTGTTTGCCACAGAGCTGATTTTCTATAAAAATCTGAATCCTTTTTGTCAAGACAACTAGGGCAAGACTAATTTCTGGGTTGAAATTCATCCCTGCAGCACTCTATACCATTAGTTCTCAAACTTTTTGTGCCCAAGCCACACCAAAGGGCAAGATTCTCACACCTGTATTTATATCTGTGCACAAAAGCCGCTATAAGGTGCGTTATCACTCTTATAACGACATAAATGTTTATTTTTATTTACTAATATCAAATAACAATTGACAACCAACTATTACTTGTGAAATACGTAACAAAATGATTCAAGAATTCATTGTAAACTTTTTAAAATGACATCAAAGCACCAATAACACACCCATTTAAACAGGAAATAATGTAAGATAAAGTAATATAATGTGATGTGTTACACACTTATAATTCCCTTTCCTGAATGGCAGTAAATGGTTCCCTGTGAACATTAAATTCAATTAAAATACATTTATTAGGTAGAGTTTGCCTCCTTATTAGGGAATGGGTGGGCCCAACATACTGATACAGTCAATTAAAAATTCATTCATAACTTTTTGTACAGGCCCAGATGAATATTGCAATAAAAATCTTTCCACGGCACACCTGGATTTGCATCACAGCACACCATTTAAGAACCACTGCTCTATACTAGAGACCTGCAAATAGATAGTGTCTTCTTTTGAGGCTGTGGTTCAAAGTTTCGCTGTACTACAATAACATCATGATGTCAAGTATTCCCCTTTGCATCCTCGTTGCAATTAAGATGCAATTACATCTCTAATCAGAGCTGTCTCCATGTAAATGGTTTACCCATGACACATGTTAGTGCTTAATGTAAAAAAGACTATTGTGGGCAAAGAAAACAACCATTGTCCCCCAATGTAATGTCGACAACTTTAGACAAGGCTGACACTTAACCTTGTGATAAATTGTCCTCCTTCTAACTGTGGTAGTGCAGCGCTAAAGCTTACCCGCAGGTCAGTGAGT